TCGGAGCTGCTGCTGAGAATGATCTTGCTCCCAATGTTGAGAGCATCTTTCCCTTGGGATGGTCCAATAAGAGCTTACCAGTAGACCTAAGATTATATAATGAATTCGATTTTATACTAATAAGATCGCTAAGATAAGTTGGCGCTAGGCCATAAATACATTTGAAAGTCAAAAGTAAAATCTTATAGTCAATACGCAAAGAAACCGGCAGCCAGTGCAGCTCATAAAGCGCCGGTGTAATGTGAGAAAACTTTCCAATGCCAAGAATAAGTCTTGCTGCTGCATTTTGTACACGCTGTAATTTAGCGATCTGCACATTTGGTAAGCCAAACAATAAACCATTACAATAGTCAAGACGGCTGGTTATAAAAGCATGAACCAAAGTAATTAAAGAATCTCTCCACAGGTATTTCTTAATACGTCTCAAGTTATGTAAATGATAAAATGCCGCATTACAAGCCTTGTTTATATGATCAGTCATGCTTAAGTTGCTGTCAAACCACGATCCAAGGTTTCTAACACATGGGCTTCGGCTGATACGATTATTGCCCACAGTTATCGAACACGAATCTAATTTATCAAGCTGTTGTCGTGTGCCGACTAACAAAAACTCCGTCTTCACAAGTCCAGCATTTGTTTACTTGTGTCCTTCTCTGGTGTCCAGACTTCCCTCGTCAAATAAACGCGTGGTTACTAAGCAATCGTTTTGTAGCATTCTCCAGTGCTTTATTTTCTTTCCATCGTTCCATTTTCATTTCAACTGTGGGCTTTAGCAATGAAGGGAACTGTTGTCTTTCGCAGGAAATGGGGAAATTGATTAAAGAGAACCTTTTAAAAGGTATTTTCAGAGTTGATTAACTTATTTAAAATGTCACTGCAAATACAAAACATTAAATTTCCTCAAGTTTATTTGTGAACATTTTGATGCGCGAACAAACGATCACCTTTTTTACAAAAGCGCATTTTTGTTTTTGTTTTTTTTCAAAATCATGCTTGAAAGTTGGGGGTGCGGCTTATACACGAGTGCGGCTTATACACGAGTTTTTACGGTACTCCTAAAAATGCTTCGGGCCATTTCGTTAGCCAAAGCGAAAGAAATGCAAAAAAGAGGCACCGTGTACAATGCAATTAAGACGGTAAAATAACCGCAAGTAATAGAGCAAAGGGAACAATTTATGAGTTTGCACAATGTGGCATTGCATTGTGCAAAGATCCTAGTTTCCGTTTGTTTCATTCTGCGTAGATAAGTGTAAATTTCAGGATTTGGCTGAAAAACAACACTTCAGTCATTTGTATATATTTTTTATTCAATTTAGTTCCTGTTATGAGTTTGAAAGTCATTTTATGATACAAAGAGCGAATGATATGAGGTTAATGAAATGGTGGCAAATTGAAAATGTGTTTTAGTTGAACTTCAACCATAAACAGAACTTGCAAATTGAATTATTTGTAACCATTTTCTAGCTGTATAATTAATTAAACACAATCAGACTACATTTTCCTGTATTCTGCAATCCCGTTTCAATTTCGAGTCTAGTTCTCTTGTATTGTTCATCAGAAGCCTAGGAAATAAGAGACATTTTCGTTTGGGCATGGCTAGTAGGGAAAGGGTTAAATGAAGATTTACAATCTTCCATCAGGTGCAAAAGTTCCCTTGAGAAGATTGATCCATCTTCTCTGGAGGTTACATACAGTATAGGCCACGGGCATTGCAGCACTTACACATACATAAGTTGCGTGCAATATGGCAGATTTCTAGCAAAAAACTCGTGTAAATTTTTACACGAGCTCTTATATGCTGCCCTTTCACACCCAAATTTGCTTGTATTTTTTTGTTACAAAAACACACAAGTTGCACGTAATTCTTTACGACAGCAAATGTCAGGAGCCCATGATGCCTGATGTATAAATTAGAAACCAACATTGTGGAAAACAACTTTTGACAGTGAAAAAGAAAATGACTTACTATACATTTAATGTTGCAACTTTCTCTTACTACAAACGTCATGTTTTGTAAATCAACGATTCATGTTATGTAAATTCCTTGGCTGTTGGCTGCAGTGGGGTTTCCAATTACTATACACAATTTTACATATAACCTTGGATGCATTTTACTTGCCACGTTGACTGTTGTTTTGAAATAAATTCAATGTTTTGCACTTCTGTACACTGTTTTATTTTTCAAGTTGTTACACATTTAAGACACGATTCGAGTTATCAAGAGTAAAATTATAGAGAAATTATCTAAAGGGAAACAAAAATTACTTCAAGCTAACTTTCTCTTACTATGAACGTCATGTTTTCGTAATGACCAATTCATCTTATATAAATTTCTTGGCTGTTGGCTGAAGCAGGGTACAATACGCTATTTTACATGTAGACTTGGATGTGACTTACTTGCCAACCTTACTGTTGTTTTGAAAAAAATTCAATGTTTCAGACTTAAGCCAGGGCTGTCAAAAAGTTGTTAAGTAGCAGGCTGATAATGAAAAGTAGGCAGCTTTGGAACTTGCACCAAAGGCACAAGTTCCTAAAGGCCGAGGCATCTAGGAACATTTTGAAATTTAGAGTCCTGGAAATCGCATTTCCAGGGGTTTTCTATAAGTATTTTCCACCACGGACGCCATGTTGTTTCATAAAAATACATGCAAGACTGGGAACAATGCTGTTAAAATGTCCCAGGCATTCCAGGACATCTCACGGTTCGAACGTTTCACAGATCTAAACCTGTATAAGGTGGCTTGACTGGATTTTTGGGGGGGGGATACCTCCCAAGTTTGAGCATTAACTACATCGGTATGAGTAAAGATATGGCAATTGGAGTCGCTATGGCAACGTAACAATGCCATTAAGTTTTTTATTTATCTTTGTGATTCTCTGTACCAGGAGTTTTTTTTAAGCAATCGCTTAAGAGAGTATGTACCTGCCATAATTGCCTCAATTATGGCAAAGTTTCAACAAATTCAATGAGAGTTTTCCCTTGGTTAAATCTCAGGAATATGCTAATAACCGGGTAAAGAAGTTAGTGATATATAAATAACAGCACAGCAACTCTTTGTAAGAGTTCTGTGATGTTATAATCCAAGTAAGATAATTAAGTATTGCATCCTACAGGATGAGCCTCGACATTCACCATTTCGGCTCTCACTGCTATCTGTGACACAAGCTAATTATTAGCATATTCCGGATATTTCTTCAGAAGGTAATCGAGAGTTCTGTTCGATGAAAATTTATTTCTTTTGCTAGTTGTGCACATGCATATGAAACATGAAAACAATTCCAATGAATAATAAGGACGCTGGTTGAGGCCCTATTCAAAAACTTTCCCTGTTTTCAGGGAGTAAGGGTGGCGCAGTGGTGAGAGCACTCGCCTCCCACCAATTTGGCCCGGGTTCAAATCCCGGCGTCGACGCCATATATGGGTTGAGTTTGTTTTTGGTTCTCTCCCTTACTGCGAGAGGTTCTTGTCCGGGTACTCCGGTTTTCCCCTCTCCTCAAAAACCAACATTTCCAAATTCCGATTCGACCAGGAATCAGGTAGACGAAGAACCACTTTGTGGATGTGCTACCTGCAAATTGTTATTTATTATTTATTTTATTTACTTATTTTTCAAAGTTCTTGAAACACATCTTGGGATTGTCAAATGTATAAAAAAATTTCTCAAGCGGTTTTTTGAAAAATTTGAAATTTGTAGGAATGGACCAAATTACATGCAAAGACTGTAACAATAGCAGCTGAATGCAAGTTATAGTCCATGGGCCAAGTGTCTAAAAATGGCGGATCGTTACCACTTGGGGGAACGAAGGCCACCATATATCAAACTAAAGCTTATCATGTGTAGATTTCAAAAATATATGATGGAAATGTTGTAAGAGTAGCTTAAAGGAGTCACGTGACCTTGAATTTTGCATAATTAGCATAAATTGATAATATACTAAAATGCGGCTGTAGCAAGTAATTCTGTAGATTCTGCATAAAATAAAGCAGGCATAGATAAAATATAATGTCTGTAAAGTATTTTGTCACTTTTAAGGATAAACAGTCACGTTACAGTGACGTCACTTCCAGTCGCGGTAAAAAACCCTCCATTTTTTGTTTATTTTTCCTATTCTTGTTGTTTTTTTGCTTCTTCCCGTTATGTGATTCAAAAGTACATTTTATAACATATGAAAAGCAGTAAAAGATAATATAAGTAGTGTTATTTCAGATGCATGATTTATCATCGAGCGATTTTTCACCGGTATGGTCACCCTGTGGCGTTACTCTTGCAAAAGACCGGGAACAAATGTGCAAGGAAGCCATCTTGTTTTTGTGGTAATTACAGTCCTCAAAGATGTGAACAAATATGGATTCAAGCATACCTCGTAAAAGACAAAGAACTAAGCCTTATTGCATAATACATTGTACTGATGACAACACAACGTTAATCAGTCCAAATTCTCTTGACTCATGGAAAACGTTGCAAAAAGTTGGTCAAATCCGAGATCACGAAGGCATTCTTAGTGTACAGGTTGCCGATGACCAAATCCCGAATGGAGTATTTTACCATCGCAAATGTCGAAGCACGTTTACACACAAACATGACTTAGATCGAATTACAAAGAGTAAGAATACTGAAAAAGAGAAGGAGGTAGAGGTGGAGATGAGTCATCTACAAGACAAGGTAGGATGCTTGTTCGGCTAAATAAAAAGAAAGAATCTTAAAGAATTAAGATAATCATAGAGTAGTTGTGTATGGAAAGAAAAGTTTCAGTATTGCAGAATTTTAGTTATAGTTACAGTTATCTATATCAATATCTTGTTTGTATTCGGCTGGCACCATTCCTGCTACAAGAATTATACAAGGACAAACAGCAAATCTGTGAATACAACAGATACTGAAAAACTTCCTGATAGTTATACTGAGGCGGAATTCAACGCATTTTCTAGATTATGCGATTATATAAGGAATGAATTATTTCAGAGCAATAATATAATAGAGCTTGCACAATTAAGTGATATGCTTAGAGGGTGGATGTTGGAATCTGGGGTAATAGAAATCAAGCCATCAACAATAACTCACTTAAGAAGAAAACTTCGTGTTGAATTTGGAGATTCCTTACACTTGATTCAAAAGGAATCTAACAAAGTTATCGTCTACCCAGATAGCCTCACACGGGATCAGCTAGTCTTATCAAACCATCGCCTACAAAAGGAAGTAAACGTTTTAATGGCCTCTCGTTCACACATTGGCAAAAGTTTAAAAGATGTAGCTAGTGAGATTAGGCAGTCTGTAAAGCAACACTGCGCTAAACAAGAGTGGCCCCCAGATCCCTCCAATATCACCCAGGAAAACAGTGACGCTCCAACTCTAGTGACGTTCTGGGTGGCGATGATCAAGAGCTCGGTGAACGCATGTCCTGGCTTAGCAGTTCTGTTGGTCAAGACCTTATGTTTGGTATAACCCATGGTCGATACAAGCCTGCAAAAAACATTCTGTTACCCTCCGCAGTCAAATCGCTAACAGGTATTTCATTATTATAAAATTTATTATAAATGTTTTTACAAGTGGCTGCAATTTATTCAGGATTAAACTTTCAATCTATTTCAGGTAATGTTGAGCTTATACAAATTCTAAACCGTCTTGGGCACGGTATATCATATTCTCAACTCGAAGAGGTTGATACAGCCCTGTGCCTACAAAAACTTGCCATGACACCTGAAGATGGCGTCCCTCTCCCAAGCAACATATACCCAGGTACAAATACTGTCCTCGCCTTTGGCAATATTGATAGGCTCGAAGGAACCCTGTCCGGAGGTGGGACATCGCATCATGTTAATGGTATCGCCGTTCAGCCTGTTACTTACGGCCCTAATCAGAAAATAGTGGTCGCCAAGGTGGACAAGACAAAGAAAAGATCATTCTCTGCCCCAGAAGAGCCTCTCCCCATCTACAATGTCGGCAAGCGAGTTGGGCCCCCACCAAGAAAAATGAGGGAGGTTGATGGCGAAACAATTCTTAAAGAATTTACAAAGAAGAATCTGCTGTTCATCCTTGCTCGTCAACATTATGCAGCCCACCAACAAAAGGTCAGCAGCTGGACTGGGTTTAACATCATGGTTCACGACAAAGACGCCATCATTCCCAATAATGTAGGCTATTTGCCAATCATTAATGCACCAGCCACTGATGTTTCCACCGTCAACGAAGCCCTCAACCTATCACTCACTATCATGCGCACGCTACATCTCACAAGCATCATATGTGTTTTCGATCAGGCCATCTATGCCAGGGCGTTTGAGGTGAAGTGCAAGGAGTATGAGAAGTTCAAGCCCATAGTTCTACGTCTTGGAACTTTTCATACCCTTGGTACATTGATCTCTATCATCGGTAAAAGGTTTCTGCATGCTGGTCTAAAGGACTTAATCATTGAAGCTGGGGTAGTGGCTAAAGGGATCCGTGTCTGCAGTTCTGGAGGGCCGAAACTATAACAGGGGTGTTCGTGTGCACAAACTGGCTTACGAAGAATTCATGAGGGTGGCATTGGAAGGAATTTATTTTTGGCTTGATGAGTCACACCCAGTGGACAGTCGTACCCTAGCTGATGAACTGTCTAAAGAAAGACACGAGGTTTTCAAGAGCCGAGTTTTCCAGCGTTTTTCTGACCTTTTTGCTGAATACACTCTTCATCTTTGGAATACCAATGGCCCCCTTTCAGAATTCTGGATGTCCTATATAGACATGATCGAGCAACTACTTCACATGATCCGTGCTTCTAGAGAAGGGAATTGGGAAATCCATCTCTCCTGTGTCCGCCAGATGCTCCCATGGCGCTTTTCCTACGATGCTATCAACTACGCAAGATACATGTCAGCTTATTATAGCGATATGACAAGTCTACCAGATGAGCACCCTGAGGTACACGAGTTCATGAGAAATAGTGGATTTTCAGTTCAGTTGAGCAATGACAATACATTTGGAAGAATTCCCGTTGACCAGACTCTTGAAGAAATTGAAATAGAGATACCCAAACACCTGGGGGTAATAAGGGCTTAGTTTGAAACCTGGAGCCGTACAAAGGTACTACTTGACGGCAGAATTCAGAACTTTGTTCCTGCGCAGTTTGCGCAAAATGGTTGGATATGCCAAAGGGAAGCACGGCCATGCTGACCTTCACGCGTTTCGCATTGCCCAAGATAAGAAAGATGTTGCCGCGATGGTTGATTTAATCAAGAACTGGACAGATCCATTTGCAGGTCATATGCAACAGTCCAGCATCTCAACAGGAACTGTTGCCACTACTGCTATAGCAGAGGACCTTGCGACCGCCTATAAAGTTGGAGAGGCAGCCTACGCTGATTTCAAGAAGACCCATCTCGAATCACAGCCCCCAACGGTAAGGTTCAATGACAAACTGAAAAAGCAAAAGCTGAAAACCTTCAGTGCTTTATCGAAGACCAAGACAGTGGCAAAGGGCAAAGACACAGAAACTGTTCTGCGCGCTGATCGAAATTTGTTTGCGCGAATGATCATAATTGCTGAAAGCCGCAATCTGCAATTGCAAGATGTGTTAAAGCATCCATTAGGCCCTCTTCCTGCTTCCCTGGCCTGCAACAATGGCTTTCCCCACAAGACCAATAAGGCACAACTTGGCAAAGAATTAGAGAAATTGATACAGCCAACGGTAGAAGTAACAAGGCCTTCAGCTTACCTAATAGATGGGATGGCTCTGGTCCAAAAGCTGAAGGTAGATTATCTCACATTTGGTGAGATCGCAGACAATATTTTATCTAGAGTGTTGCGTGAGGC